TTGGAATTATCCCTACGAATTATCAAATAATATTATATATATATATATATATATATATATATATAATAATTATTTTTTATAAAAAATTATAACATAAGTATGTTATAAGATCACTAAAAAAATAGCCATTTTGTTTCAAATACATTCTGTGTCTTCTCAAGTGATGATGTTGAAAAGCTTATATATATATATATATATATATATATATATATATATGTTCTTCTCTGTCATTATGTGCATATATATATATATATATATATATATGCCGAGAAAGAGAAAATAAACACATATATATATAAATATGTTTATTTTTCTCTCTCTCTCTCCTGCTATATATATATATATATATATATATATATATATATATATATATATATATATATATATATATATATATATAAATTGTTTATTCGAAAATTATAGCATAAATATGTTATAAAATTACTATAAAATAGCCATTTTCTTTCAACACTTCTGGTGTCTTATCAAGTGATGGTGTTGAATGTAGAATAAAGGCTTTTAAAAGGTTCAAAACAACCAAACACCCCCTCGCAAGGGGAAACGCTGTTACATAAGCTGCAATGACCAATCAAAATACAAGTATACGAGAATTCAAAAACTTGACAACGAACTAAGGTTATAATAATTATTTAATGCTTTAATGTTGGGCTTAGACTAAAATAGAATTTATTCTAACTAATAAATATTAAATTATACGATAAAATTTGAAATTACAAATTAAAAATTACCGAATTTAAAATTAAATTTAAATCTCTATAAAGTTTCAAATTATAAAATTACTGAGGAAAAAATAAGAAATAAATATGTTATTCTATTTATTTTGTTTTTATTGAAATTAAGTTGGAATAAATGTTAAGATCAAATGTTGCTATGAATTTCATGACAGCGTAGATACATTTGAATCGTAAACAGAGTCAGGGGAAGATGACATCTTGCAAACGACAATACATACACAATTAGATTATAATAGATAAACACGCAGACGTATTTAGATATATACGCACACAAAAAAGTGAGACAGGAAATATCTCCACGATTCTTTACAAAAAGAAAAAAAAAAACAAACAAAAAAAACACAACATACATATAAAATGAAAGGTACACACAAGTGACCATACACACAGACACCGATAAAGACACGTACATACACACATATATATTGACAAAGACACGCACATACACCGAGCAAGAAATATTCAGGTTTGAAAGTGTTATTAAACGAATTCTAACCACTTATTAAAATATAACTTATAGTGAGCAAATATACATAGATAAAAATGGTAGAATAGATAAAATTCAACATTTGCAGAACAGAAAAACAATCACGAGGGAAAGAAAGGACATTAAAATAGATAGACATGGACAGAAAAATAGATATATACGCATGAAAATAACACCATATATAAAAACGAAAACTCTCTCTCTCTCTCTCTCTTTATATATATATATATATATATATATATATATATATATATATATATATATATATATAAATGATAAAGGAAGGGTTATAAATACAATTATATATATATATATAATCGACTCGAGGGTCGATATGAGGGTCAAGCAGATCAGTTTCCAGGAAACCGACAGCCCGACACCGGCACATGAGATTTGATTATAGTGGTGAAGGCAGGACCATCCACACTTTTTGAAGGGACGAATACAGAGACCTAGTGCACCGAATGCCACAAGGTTCCCAAACGACCCTCCACAGGTTTTAAATTCAGAGTTGTCCTTCTCCTAGACCAGTTGCCATCCAAGGCTATAGAACCCAGTCTGTCCTGCTATTTTACCCATATATATAATTTTGTCTCTACTTACATTTTATTACCCGGACTCATATTTCGAGTCTGCCATTTTGTTGTGAGATAAATATATCAGGAAACACGTGCTTTCCAACTTAAACATTTCGATCAGTACACCTGCAACATGCCAACACATACACATTTTAATGAAACTTTAAACTACTATGCACATTGTAATGACATTACACAATTAAGGAAAACGATGCTGGGGATGTCAGCTGCATGACTAATTAAGATCTGTTGACTTACAGTTGCTTCAGGTTTCAGGTTGATATTTGGAGGCAGCTTGTAAAATAAGCAAACTCAAATCATAATAAAAATAGCAGAGTAGTAGTAGCAGTGTCATAATTTTGAAACAATACAATTATATATATATATATATATATATATATATATATATATCGATCGCATCATATATTTTCTTGTAAAATTTTGGACTGAAGAGATGAGCACCTGATCCCATGAAATAAATTATCACCTAAATGGATTTCTAAGAACTCCGCTTTCATTTTTATATTTTCTCTGTTCTTACACTGAGCTCACTTTGGATTTATATCCTCCTTGGAATTAACCCTATTAATTATCAAATAATATTATTTATGTATATATGTATATATATATATGTATGCATGTATGTATATGTATGTATATATGTATGTATGCATGTATGTATATGTATGTATATATGTATGTATGCATGTATATGTTCGCGTGACCGAGGGGTTAGAACGTTCGCTTTCTGGCCATGTGACTCAGGTTCAATTCATGTCAGATTTTTTGGAGAGGTGAATTCTTGCTGGGGAGACGACCCTGGCACGTGACACTTCTGGAAATTGCCTGAAAAACCATAAAACGGGTTAACTCAAGCCTTATGGGTAAAAATTGGTGAAACGGAACCGCGTTGAACCCTTCGACGGTTGTGCTAATGTGAAGTCACAGGTCATCGTGACGAAATGTCTGAGCATGCTGACTTTCTTAAAAAAAATGATCAGGTCAGCTTATGCGCTCTCTCCCAGAAACCGTAACTAAGGTCTGTCACACAAGTGAACTCTGTGGCTTGAGCGAACGTCAGTAATAGGGATTTGCTAACGGTCCTCCTCGGAAACGAAAAAATCTGCCATTATTTATGTTTGCATATATATATATATATATATATGTATGGATTTAGAATTTAGACTTATTCAATAATCCTTCATCTCATTTTGTTGCATAAACCTCTGTCGGCGATCGCTAATTGCTTTAGTTCAGTAATGAAAGACTTCAAACACAAAGAATTTTAACTTAACTATTTTTATTACTCACTGGGTGCTGTTCCGAACACGAAAGAGAACACATCTACATCGCTTGACGGGTAAGAACCAACTCACTGAAACCTTTCTCCTATCTATCTGTCCCACGCTAGCTCAGCCAATCAAAATTGACTTCCCTATTTTGGCTCATATCTGACCCCGAATATCAACCCCCGGAAGCTGGAACCAAGATCAGTCAGTTATGTGCCATGCGTGATACATGATTAAACGAACATTTTGATACATGATTGACGAGGCTGATTTTTCCGGCAGTAGGTTGTCATTTCTTTCTGCGGTGGACCAGTTGCCATCAAGGCCATAAAATCCGGTCTGTCCTGCTATTTACCCATAGCTGGAGGGCGAAGAGGAGGATTCATACCTTGCCCAAGGCTATTAGTATGTAAGTGAACCGTGATACATTTCCCTTAAAAAATATTACCAATTTGAGCAGGATCCCCAGTTTCATCATGAACATAGGCAGAGGTGGTTAGTTCTAAGTATTGCTCGGTAAAGCGTCCCACTTGTCTATCAATTTTATCTCGGCAGGATCGTCAGTTTATTCTTGAAAATAAACTGAGCATTGTTGTATGCGCAACATCACTAGGTAACTTTTTACTTTTCTGTCATTCTCAGGGCAAAAAGGTTGGACATTGTAACCATTTCCAAATGCTGTTTCTGTAATCTCTTCAAATAAATTATTTCTCCTGATGCGTAGGTCATTGAGAGAGTTCATCTTAACAATAGCTTTAATATGTCCTCCTAAAATAAAATCCATCAAATGTGATCATTTTGCCTGACCAGAAGTCTGTCCATATCTCCCAATCAAATTTAAGGAAATTTACATTGAGGAACTGAGAAAGATAAGTGACAAATTCCGCCATTTTGGTGAAAACTAATGTTCTCCTAACACTAATCTTCTTCTAACACTAATGTTCAGACTAACTACATTCCTTAGTTCCATCGGTTCAAACCTCTATAGATAGGACCTGCCATGCTATGTACATAGCGCCCTTATTTCATTCCTAAAGAGGAAGTCCCATTCGAACCCCTTCTTCTCCGGAACTGTTACGTTGTGGAAGTGACTCCAGAAGGATTCTTCCCCGATCAAAACAATCTTAACCTCTTCAAATCTAAGGGCAACCATTATCTATCCTACATATCCTCATAATATACACATATTCATCCTCCTTTTATGACGTTGCAACAATCTCATTCAGTAACCCTCTACCTTGAGTGGCTCTTGAGCGTTGCACTGGGTGAACAATAATATTAAAAATTATTAATTCTTTTTACATGTAAATGTCATCGTGTATAAAACCGAATATGAATTATAATAATTTAAAACCGCAAAAGGAATGTATAATGACTTAAATATTGGACACAATGGTGGCTGAATTGATATATTAATTTTCCAAGCATAGCTTAGATGTGGCACAAAGCCGAAAGTAAGGGGGACCCAGTGAGGATCGAACTCTTTACTCATTCATAATTGTACTAGCGAGAAAAGCTTGCTAACCATTACACCACCTCGGGGTGTCCCAAGTGACTTTCCAAGCGTAGCTTGGATGTGACACAAAGCTGAAAGTAAGGGGCACCCAGCGAGGATCGAACTCTCTAAACATTTGTAGTTGTTCTAGCGAGACAAGCTTGCTAACCATTACACCGTGCCCTCGCTGAATTGATAAAAAATGTCAACGTTATATAGAGAAATAAACAAAGAGATTATGGAAATAAATAAGTGAAGGAAAGTGAGTATAGTTTCGGGGGGAGGAGAGAGGGAGAGTGAAAGAAAGTGGAATAGAATTAAGAAAGAGTAGAAATGGAAAAAGAGAGAGAAAAAGAAAAAAGAAAGGAAGGATCATGTGTGAAAATGGAGAAAAGTTTAGAAGCTTTTACTGAAGAAGAAGAAGAAGAAGGAGAAGAAAAGGAAGAAGAAGAAAAGAAGAAATAGAAGAAATAGAAGAAGAAAAAGAAGGAATACAAGAAGAAAAACAAAAAGAAGAAAAAGCGAACGAGAAAAAGAAAAAGAGGAAGAAAAAAGAAGAAAAAAGAAGAAAAAGAGAAAGAAGAAAAGAAAAAAGAAGAAAGAAGAAAAAGAAGAAACAGAAGAAAAAGAAGAAACAGAAGAAAAAAAGAAATACACGAAGAAGAAAAACAAAAAGAAGAAAAAAGCGAACGAGAAAAATAAAAAGAGGAAGAAGAAAAGAAAAATACAAGAAGAAAAAAGAAGAAGAAGAAAAGAAGAAATAGAAGAAGAAAAATAAAAAGAAGAAAATAGAAAAAGAAGAAAAAGAGAAAGAAGAAAAGAAAAAGAAGAAGAAAAAGAAGAAGAAAAAGAAAAAAAGAAGAAATAGAAGAAAAAAAAGAAATACACGAAGAAGAAAAACAAAAAGAAGAAAAAGTGAACAAGAAGAAGAAAAAGAGGAAGAAAAAGAAGAAAAAGAAATATAAGATTAAAGAAGAAGAAGAAGAAGAAGAAGAAGAAGTGAGTAAGAAGATAATAAAGACATGTAGAAGACGACAGAAAAGACTTGAAAAAATAGATCAACTTATAACCTTCTGACGTCAGTCTTAACTGACGCTTTTTTTAACATTATACTGTGACAATTTTCCGTATTTTCTTGATTTCAGTATAAAAAATGGAAATTTTACAATTTATTTCAGTGACATTTCCGTTATCAAACTTATATTTTAGAATTATAGTTTAGATATATGTAAATAAAAAAGACGGAGTCAGTTTTAAAAGAACACCAAGTCCATATGGATTAAAAAAGAAAGGTAAAGATGAATGAGAAACAAAGCAAAAAGTAGAAGAGGAAGCAGAAAGAATATAAAATAGGAAAAGGGAAATTAGACAATAAAGTCGAGAAAAAAAATGTAAGAGAGGAAAATGAAGAAAAAGGATCAAATTGCAAAAAAGAGAAAAGAAAGAAAATATGTTGGTGAAAACAGGGGAAGAAAATATAAAGAATGGTGATAGAAAGAGCGTGTCAGAGAAGAAAAATGATAAAGGGAGAAGAGAAAGATTGAAATGATGGCGATGAAGAAAGGTGAAAAACAAAGATGACTTTCTTTCTTTTACGCTTTGTAGACTGTGAGGAGAATAGTACAGAGAAGCTCAATTTGTTAATCTAAAGTTTAAAAGAAAAGAAAAGAAAAGTAAAAAAAAAAAAAAAAAGCAGGCGATATGCAGCAGTGAATCGGAGATGTTTTATTTGGGGGACAGTTGAGAATCCGAACAAGATGGCCGTTGTTTGGGAAAACCATGGAATAGTCGTGTCAATTATGTCCGCCCTGTTGGCAAAATAAAATAAAGCTTTTAATAAACTTGCTTTAGGCGTGTTGATGAGGCGCTGAATCACGCAAAAAGTCACCAAACAAATGTTCATTCATATCCCCTCTCTCTCTCCTATTCTCTTCCTCTCTCTCTCTTTTTTCTCTCTCTCTCCTATATATATATATATATATATATATATATATATATATATATATATATATATATATATATAGTATGTACAATATACACATATATATATTTATTATATATATATATATATATATATATATATATATATATATATATATAGATATATAGATATATAGATATGTATATATATAGGTGTGTGTGTGTGGTGCGTGTGTGTGTGTGCGTCTATGTTTGTGCAACTTGGACTGAAAAGTTATCGGTACGATTTTAACCTGTTCTTATTCTAACTGAATAATTCAAAGGGTTTTTCTGTGACTCTTATGACAAACGGTGTCAAGATGGTTAAACGTCTTATCAAAAAACCTGTAAAAATAAAACGCAATTAGTTTAGTGCTTTTTTGATATTAAAATTTGTGGGATGGTCAATTATACTGTTGCATGATTTGGGCAATTTTGTTGTTACACCCGGTATATATATATATATATATATATATATATATATATATATATATATATATCATAATTTTATCATATAGTCAAAAACAGTTTACTACTCACTACATAGATGCAACTTCGTTTCGATGCATTTCAATTGCACCTCGACTGGTGAGAACCAAAATTGGTTTTGTACAATTCTTCTTGTAGGCAAGCCGTATGTAAAACGTCACTTCCTTTTTTCCATTTGTCTATATTTCTGAGATGAGGTGTTATGTACATTATTTACATTATTCGGACTATTGTCCTCATCTTTGTCGACATATTTATTACAACGTTTCGTTTCAAGGACACATTCTAGTTTAATGGATGTCAGTTATCTGTTATTTCCTGTTAATTTCCCTCTGAAAGTTCGCCACTGCCTTGACACATGGCACAGTGGATAAAGGCGTAAGTTAGATCCAATGACAGGACCCAAAGAGTGTGAGTTCAATCCCTGGTTAAGGCGGTGGAGAACTTGGGGAATTAACAGGAGATAACTGATAACTGACATCCATTAAAAACATGACACGTGGAACTAGAACAGTCTACCCCAGTGAGCGAAATAAAGGGTTCAGTTCGAGATTCCAACCACCTGAAGAAGGCCGGAGCGTACAACGCCGAAACGTTGTAATAAATATGGCGACAAAGATGAGGACAATAGTTCGAATAATGTAAATAATGTTTTTTACATTTGTTTCAGAAAAATATACATAAAGCAAAAAGGTGATGCAGTGAAACAATAGTGCTTGTTGATAGCAGTTTGGTAATGGATGGTTTAGGTGTTAAATGATGAGTCGTCTGATTGTACTAAAAAGTAGGCTTAAAATTTTGATTTGTGTCGAATATATGTAGAACACTGCCTATTCCTGCTATAACGGGTCTCATCAATATGTCCGGTTTGTGCATTTTTCGTAATTCTTAAAGTCTGGGTGTTTTCAGGTGGTGTTTTACTCAGGAATTGTCTTCATTTTTTAATAATTTCTTGGTTTCGTTTTTAATTATTTTGTCTCTTTAATGGCCTTCCGTTTAGTTTTCGTAGATATTTTGGTCATCGAATGGAGGCTTCATTTTTTGTAGATAAATGTTTATGCCCATAATTATAATTTTACTTTTTAGGTATATATGAATGGTTTGATTAGGGACCGCCACTTTTCGGCATAAATTTTCGATACCTAAGTTTAAAATGATTTTTTTAAAACGAAAAAACATTGTTGAAAATTTCATTTTAGCTTTAATTGAAAGTTTAATAATTAAATTTATTATTTCCATTAAGTAAACAATTCTGGTGTATTTCAGATAGAAACTACATACATTGGAATGTCAAATTTAATTTCGATTTCTTAAATTTTCTTAAAAACGGCCATTTTCTTAATTTTAAGAAATTTGTAAACAAACAAAAATTTATCGATTTTAAAAATATTT